ATACTCATTTTTTAGATAAAAAAATATGCTCTTACAAATTTTTCCAAAAATTAGAATTTTCCAAAATACTTTTCAACATGCCATGATATTCAGTAATATTAAAACAGATAATATTGAATTAAACATGGATAAAACTAATCTTTGGCATGCAAATCATATAAGGCGAAAACAAGCAATATGGCTTTGATACCAATGAAGAAAAATATGAGGGTAATTCTATTACTTGAAGTGGAAACAGTTTGGATCGGAATAATTGAATTACGAGTCTCGTCCATAAATCATTTTGTTGTCAATTGAGAAGCTAACAGAATTTCTCAATTTATTATCCACACTCCAAATCCCTAGGTTCAACAATGATGACATAAGAGGGAAGAACAGAGAGTGAAATATTTTCTGTAGAGATTTTTCGGGTAAAACTCTCACACTCAATAATACATATATTATTTTTTCTATATCAGATATATAGAGAATCTTTGCTGATAGAGGTGGAGTTGTAATCTCCCACAACAACTCAAACACCTTTTTAGATAATTCTCTTAATTATCTTATAATGTAAATTATACTGACCTCTCCTCAGGTTTACCTTGATTACAGGGACCTCCCCTGTAGTTTAAAAAATAACACTAACCTCCCCTACTTTTGAAAATAATACATAGATTCCCCCTGCTATTAGAAGGACATTAATAAAGTAACAAAAATAGTGACATCAGCCACAATAAACATGCAAATGCCTAAAATACCATTGTCATCCTTTATAAAACGATATACACTCTTCTAACTATTTGCCTCCAATTTCCAACACCTTAAGTTTCCCTCCAAACTCTCTCTCTCTCTCTCTCTCTCTCTCTCTCTACAACCTTGCTTGACATGGATGAAGATTTCATGTGAGCTCTCTCTCTTAGTTCTGTGTATTTTTTTATTTTTGGATGAACTATGTATATATATATATTTGTATGCATGCATAGGTACAGTGATATGGCATCATCAAACAATGGAAGCAACATACTGAAATATAGAAGGAAAACATGTCTTTGTGGTCAAAAGGCATCTATCAAGGTGACACAATCTGAAAGAAACAAAAACAAAGGAAAGTTGTACTATGCTTGTGCAGAAGGAAAATGCAAATTCTGGGATTGGTGCAAATCTGTTAACTCAATTGATGAAAGTATTGATACTGTTCAAAGGCCACTACCTCAAGGCAATTTCAAGGATATGCATACAAGAGTGCAAGTACTTGAAGACAACCAAGGATAGATGAAGCTACTGATAATCATAAGTTTAGTCATAAGTTTGTTTTCCCTGTTTGTTGCCATTATGAAGTAACCTACTTATCATATGTAAAGCTTGTTCTATGGGTTATGTAATGCAAGGATATCCTAGTATGACAAATTTGTGCTAGTTTTTGTGTAATGAAATATGTAAACCCTGTTCTATGTAAGTGTAAGACAACAAGTTTGTACTAGTTTTCCCTTGGAATGAAAGCATGGAAAATCCCAAAACATGAGTGCTTCACACATATATAAACAAGTTCAAATATGAATGCTTCATAGTTACATTTGATGCTTCATAGTTAGTTGACAATTACATCCCAAAAGAGTTACAAAAGAGTTACATCCCCAAAAAATAAGTAATCATTATCTCACAGTTAAAACACTATGCTCCTTATCTACGACTACATCATAGTTACAAAAGTATGATCAAGATGCCCACAACAAAAAAAATCAAAAGTGGGTGCATCATCCTATAAGCACTATGCACTATCTATATATTCTGTACCTGTTCATTGTCACACATATGTACCCAAAAACCATCATTAAGTAGTGAAGTTATCTGCAAGAAACAACCAACAAAAAAACAAAAAAACCAAAAACAACTTAGTCTTGAATATGTACCATGTAAATAAAATCTAAAATCGAAAGTGAAGTTATCTACACTAATCTTATGTTCTTGAGACTTGTGTCACACACTGAGTAGACATCGAAGGGCTCCCTATTGGAATGTCCTGAGTTGTAAACCAAAGTTAGGCCTCGTTTGGGGACTTACTTTTTTAGCCAATTAGCTAAAAAGTTACTAAATTATCCAAAAAGCCAACAACTCATATCAAAAAGTCAAAGATTCTCTTTTCTCTCTACTTTTTACACGTCTTTTCGTAATTAGCCAAAAAGTCATCCCAAACATACAAGTTTTTTTTACCTACCTTTTTAGCCAAATAGCCAAAAAGTTACTAAATTAGTCTGTTCCCAAACGAGGCCTTAGTTGAATTAATCTTATGTTCTTGAGACTTGTGTCACACACTGAGTAGACATCGAAGGGCTCCCTCTTGGAATGTCCTGAGTTGTAAACCAAAGTTAGGATATAAATTGCAAACCAAAATTAGTTCATATATAATTTAGTCAAAAAAAAAAAAATGCAAACACAAAGAAAACAAGAGATGCTTACATGTGTATTCTCAACTGACATACCTCTTCTAGACGAAGTTCTGCCTCTGCCTCTTCCAGATGAAGTGCCTCCTCTGCCATATGCAGTGTTGCCTCATTTGCCAATAGATTTGCCTCCTCTGCCAAATGAAGAACCTATGCCTCTACCTCTACCTCCTCAGTCAGATGAAGAACCCATGCCTCTGCCTCTGCCTCTGCTTGCTCTGTCAAGTAAAGAACCTATGCCTCTACCAGATGAAGTGTTGCCTCCTCTGCCACCCCTAACTGGACCTCTCTGACATGTCCTCTTATTGTGCCCAAATTCCTTGCACCAATTTCATTTCAAAGTATAAGACCTCTTGGCCTGACTTGTGCCTACTGGAGGCTCATGAGCAGCCTTGTAACGCCCTCAAAAAAATACATAAAATCCATCTCTTTAGACATGCATTGATACAAAGAAACCAACCATCTTTCCATTAATCTGAGTAGTTCTTACAAAAATATTACATGTTAACAACAAAAGGAAATGCCCTACGGGCTTACAGCTTTCCAAGTTAACACTTGGTCACAAAAAGAAGAGTGCTAACTCAATACATATTAAGCCCTTGGCTTGAATTTACATGTAATACATCAAAAGAAAGAAAATAACAAAACAATCTGTCTGCCTCTAGCCTCCCAAGCTATGTCCTTGGAGGTGGCATGCTACCTGTACCTGAAAATGATGTCCCATAAAGGGTGAGCCACAGCCCAGCAAGAATACGCTAAACCAGCTATGAACAATGACTAAAAGATTAGCAGTTGATAGATGGTCAAACACCGATACACTCATTTATATCACATCCCGGTTTCATGACATTTAAGTCCATGTTACATTTCAGTTCTCATTTCTTTTTTAACTTTGAGTTTGAAAACAAGGTTCAAAACTTAGTCAAATAACTTGATGAGAATAAGACTCATCTTAAAACACTTTCGAAATTCATGGTGGATACACATTTTGATGTTGTATCAATAACACGTAAGCCACTTCCATACTATACGAACGATACACATTTTGGTGATGTATCAACATAACATAGAAACACTTCTATACTTCACAATTGATAACGATATACATTTTAGTGCTATATCAAATCAATTTAAACACTTCCATAATCAACACTTGATACACATGGTAGTGCTGTATCAATGTCACACTCAATCCGGCTTAGAGGTCCATCCCCTATCTTCCCCTAAACCATGGAGTACATCCTCTATCTCCTCCCCCCACACACACAATGTATATAAACATAGATCATATACACAAACATAATACATAAAGTCGATGTATTATTCAACTGCTATATTCAATAGCATACTCAAATCAATTAGTTTTTTTGCCTAATCATAATGCATTGTCTACAACAATCAAGACTATCCTCCACCGATAGCCCAAAGCAGTTATTCTAAACAGGAAATAAATGCACCAAATGGATATATTATCAACATTCAATCTGGGGTGAGCGATTAAATGAATCCAACTACACCCGTTTTATCCCATAATCTTTTCAATTTGAATACTCTCAATTCAATTTCTCATTTCTCAAAATTAATTATACAAATTAAGTTATCCCAACTAATTAGGGCATTTTTTCATAATTACATAACAACCCCAAGGTTCCACTTTCATCCATAGTTCATCATCTATATCATTTCTCTATGCCAAGCATGCATATAGTTTAAATATAAATAAACCCCATCTTTGTAAAATTACACAAAGACCCAAACTTTCTCAAAATTACCCAATAACCCCACACATATCAAAATGCTAAAATTCAAAGACAAAGCTCATAAAGAGGAGTAAGATATCCCTACTTGAAGTTAGAGCTCAAACGGGGAAGTTGAAGAAAACCAAAATGCTCCAAACTCAAAGATCCACGGATCAAAATGGAGCCCTCGACGATCCACACACTTTTTACAAAGGCCGGAGGATAGTGAGACACTCTAACTAGATCAAACCCTAGAGAGAAGGGAGTTTCTAGAGAGAGGAGCTCTCAAAATATCTTTTTAGAAAGTAAGAGAGAGAGAGAGAATGTAAAAAGTGATTTTAAAATGCCCAGCTGCCAACTGATATACGACATTCCCTCTCGAGCAAAGAACACAATGTTCGAGCGTCAAGAACAAAAAACTAGGTACGCTCGAGCGCAAGAAGGCCCGCTCGAGCGCCAAGACACAAGAATAAAGTACATCCGCTCGAGCGAGAAAACCAGTCCACTCGAGCGTAGATTTCTCCCTCCCAGAACTTATACCAAAAAGTACTACCCGCTCGAGCGTAAAAATCATACCTGCAGAAGTTTTGCAGGGACACCAAATAGTGGGAGTGTGCAATCTCCGCTCGAGCGCAACAAGGCCCGCTCGAGCGGAACTACCAAAAACCTGGCAACAAGATTTTAGACCAAGGTTCAACCCACCTGTTTGAAACATGCCCAACACATCCTAAAACTCAAACAAATGGAATTAAAGGATGACAACAAGATAGATACAACTACCAATTCCACGGAACCGAGTCCGGAATACAACAGAACAATAAAGGGACAACCGAGATCGCTATAAGCCTTCTTTTTGGAATTCTTTGGTCTTCTTACCAATCTTTTCAGATGTAGTGGCTGTAAAGGCTCTCCATCTATCAGTGTCCACATAGTGTGGCCTGATATTAGATGTATAATCCTACCATAGGCCATCAAATATTTTTGCTTTGAGTAATAGGGGTTAACAAAGTGTTCTATATTCATTTTGCTATGTGAGATGACAGCCATAGCGTGTGTGCATGGAATCCCAGAGATCTCCCACTCTCTACAGTAACAACTCATCCTACCTAGATGCACAATGTGTCTCACTACCTCATTGTCCCTAATATCAGACTCCTGCTCTCTTGCATACTCTACTTTGCACTTTCTTGACTCATACAAGGTCTTATCAAGTTTCTTATGAATATTCAAAGTGACACTGGACTGCCATTGCAATGCTTTTTGATACCTCATTTGAAACTTTCCCATTAACTTACATCTTATGGTCTCTAACATTGTCAGAATTGGTTTACTTCTAGAAATCCCCAACCAATTATTGAATGATTCTATCATATTATTTGTAATATGATCATTTCTTATCCTACCATCGAATGTATACCTAGACCTTGCTTCAACATGAACTTTTTGCAGCCATGCATATGCTTTCTTTGAGATACCTTGAATGGCCAGCATAGCCTCATCATATACCCTTTGATTCCAAGCCCTTACTGCCTTCCAAAAGTTCTTCCTCAAGATCACTCCAGGAAATTTAGCTCTGAAGTTGTTAAACAAATGCATACAACACCTTCTATGGGTAGCCTTTGATAGGATTTCACTCATAATTTTGTCAAGACCCTTTTGTCCATCAGACATGATGGTCCAAGGACTAGTGGGCAATGCATCACTCATTATTGTTCTCAAGTGTTCTAGGAAAAATGTCCAACTCTCCTTACATTTACAATCCACTACTCCTATTGCCAATATAAACAACCCATTATTCCCATCTAAAGCAATTGCTGAAATTAGCACTCCACCATAAGGACCCTTTAAGTGACAACCATTTAGCCCTATGAAGGGTCTATATCTATTAACAAACCCTATTTTCATTGCCTCAAATGAAATGAATATTCTTTTAAACACTGGGTTAGAACTGATTATACTCTCTTTATCTGGTGTGGGTTCATCCTTTGAGATTGGTTTGGATGGGTTATCATAATTGATCTTCACAAAGCTACTAGGATTCGTCTTCTTAATCTCTGCATCATATGTTGTAGTAGCACATATTGTCTACCATGATTACTCTCCATCTCATCTCCATATTTTTTTTAGCTCTATACAACTGCATCTTTGAAGCATCAATCCCACACATCTTATTCCACTTGCCTTGCATTGTATCAAACCCTATGTCTGGATTTTCTTTAAAGCTGTCACACAATTTTTTTGCTATCCAATCTGAAGTTGCCTCAGTATTTTGGTTCAACCTACTGTATGTGTGTTGGGGAACTAAGGTTTTTATCTTGTAAGTTATCCTATCTAGAAGAGAAGATGCATGAATCCTCCAAGGACATCCATTAATAGCACAGTGAGCAGTTACCCTAGACTTCTCATTTTTGTCTCTCACAATCTTGAAGCCAGTTTCCACTGGATAATCTTTCAGTGCTGCTCTGAAGTTGTTTACATCTGCAAATATCATCCCCTTTTCAAATACCATCCCCTTTTCAAATACCATTTCTTCTTTTGGATTCAAATATGGCTCTTTATCATCATATGGAGAATGAAACTATTTTCCCTATAGAATTCCTCCTTTTAGGTCTGCAATTAGGTTCATCATCAGTACTAACATCATACAACATTACATCATCTCCTGATTGATAATGACTAAGTGCACTATCATCTTCACCTAAGCCATCATCTTCACTTAAGACATATTCACTACTTGTGTTATTAGATTCATTTTAAGCATCCACATTTTCATTCCAATATTTGTCTTCATCACTAAACCCAACAAAATCATCCATGTGGTACTCATCATCTCCCTCTACATCACCATCACCATCCTGTACTAATTGATTTATTTCTACATCATCCTCATCCCTATCATTAATTTGTCAACCCTCAAACAGGGCCAGCCCTGGGCATGGGCCAACCAAGCCATAGCCTAGGGCCCCTCAAAATAGACCCAAAAAAAGGGCCCCCTCTCATTATGGTTTAGTATAATATATTAGGTATGTTTTAAGCTCAAAAAAAAAAAAAATTTTAAAAAGGCCCAAACCAACTTAAAATAAATTGACCCATTAAAAAATTGAAAGACCCATTCAAAAAAATTAACGTTTGTAAAGGCTCTCCATCTATCAGTGTCCACATAGTGTGGCCTGATATTGGATGTATAATCCTACCATAGGCCATCAAATATTTTTGCTTTGAGTAATAGGGGTTAACAAAGTGTTCTATATTCATTTTGCTATGTGAGATGACAGCCATAGCGTGTGTGCATGGAATCCCAGAGATCTCCCACTCTCTACAGTAACAACTCATCCTACCTAGATGCACAATGTGTCTCACTACCTCATTGTCCCTAATATCAGACTCCTGCTCTCTTGCATACTCTACTTTGCACTTTCTTGACTCATACAAGGTCTTATCAAGTTTCTTATGAATATTCAAAGTGACACTGGACTGCCATTGCAATGCTTTTTGATACCTCATTTGAAACTTTCCCATTAACTTACATCTTATGGTCTCTAACATTGTCAGAATTGGTTTACTTCTAGAAATCCCCAACCAATTATTGAATGATTCTATCATATTATTTGTAATATGATCATTTCTTATCCTACCATCGAATGTATACCTAGACCTTGCTTCAACATGAACTTTTTGCAGCCATGCATATGCTTTCTTTGAGATACCTTGAATGGCCAGCATAGCCTCATCATATACCCTTTGATTCCAAGCCCTTACTGCCTTCCAAAAGTTCTTCCTCAAGATCACTCCAGGAAATTTAGCTCTGAAGTTGTTAAACAAATGCATACAACACCTTCTATGGCTAGCCTTTGATAGGATTTCACTCATAATTTTGTCAAGACCCTTTTTGTCCATCAGACATGATGGTCCAAGGACTAGTGGGCAATGCATCACTCAGTATTGTTCTCAAGTGTTCTAGGAAAAATGTCCAACTCTCCTTACATTTACAATCCACTACTCCTATTGCCAATATAAACAACCCATTATTCCCATCTAAAGCAATTGCTGAAATTAGCACTCCACCATAAGGACCCTTTAAGTGACAACCATTTACCCCTATGAAGGGTCTATATCTATTAACAAACCCTATTTTCATTGCCTCAAATGAAATGAATATTCTTTTAAACACTGGGTTAGAACTGATTATACTCTCTTTATCTGGTGTGGGTTCATCCTTTGAGATTGGTTTGGATGGGTTATCATAATTGATCTTCACAAAGCTACTAGGATTCGTCTTCTTAATCTCTGCATCATATGTTGTAGTAGCACATATTGTCTACCATGATTACTCTCCATCTCATCTCCATATTTTTTTTAGCTCTATACAACTGCATCTTTGAAGCATCAATCCCACACATCTTATTCCACTTGCCTTGCATTGTATCAAACCCTATGTCTGGATTTTCTTTAAAGCTGTCACACAATTTTTTTGCTATCCAATCTGAAGTTGCCTCAGTATTTTGGTTCAACCTACTGTATGTGTGTTGGGGAACTAAGGTTTTTATCTTGTAAGTTATCCTATCTAGAAGAGAAGATGCATGAATCCTCCAAGGACATCCATTAATAGCACAGTGAGTAGTTACCCTAGACTTCTCATTTTTGTCTCTCACAATCTTGAAGCCAGTTTCCACTGGATAATCTTTCAGTGCTGCTCTGAAGTTGTTTACACCTGCAAATATCATCCTCTTTTCAAATACCATCCCCTTTTCAAATACCATTTCTTCTTTTGGATTCAAATATGGCTCTTTATCATCATAGGGAGAATGAAACTATTTTCCCTATAGAATTCCTCCTTTTAGGTCTGCAATTAGGTTCATCATCAGTACTAACATCATACAACATTACATCATCTCCTGATTGATAATGACTAAGTGCACTATCATCTTCACCTAAGCCATCATCTTCACTTAAGACATATTCACTACTTGTGTTATTAGATTCATTTTAAGCATCCACATTTTCATTCCAATATTTGTCTTCATCACTAAACCCAACAAAATCATCCATGTGGTACTCATCATCTCCCTCTACATCACCATCACCATCCTGTACTAATTGATTTATTTCTACATCATCCTCATCCCTATCATTAATTTGTCAACCCTCAAACAGGGCCAGCCCTGGGCATGGGCCAACCAAGCCATAGCCTAGGGCCCCTCAAAATAGACCCAAAAAAAGGGCCCCCTCTCATTATGGTTTAGTATAATATATTAGGTATGTTTTGAGCTCAAAAAAAAAAAAAAAATTTAAAAAGGCCCAAACCAACTTAAAATAAATTGACCCATTAAAAAATTGAAAGACCCATTCAAAAAAATTAACGTTGTTATCCATTGAAAATAGATCCAAAAAAGGGTCCCCTCCTATTATAGTTTATTGTGATATATTAGGTATGTTTTAAATCCAAAAAAAATTAAGGAAGGCCCAAACTAACTTAAAATAAATTGGCCCATTAAAAAATTGAAAGATCCATTTAAAATAATTAGCATTGTTATCCATTGAAAATAATTTTGCAAAAAAACTAGATTATGCAAGTATGATTGATTTATTTGCTTCTAAAAATGCAAGAAGAGCGAGAATCAAGCGACATTTATTAGTTGTTGTAATGTAATACTAAGTATTTTTTGTGATTTTGATACAAATCTTTTGTCTTTTACCTTTATTTTTTCATTTTTTTTTAATTCAATGAAAAAAACAATGTGAAGGGCCCCAAAAATTTATTAACTGATTATCGACTTTGAGCCCCCGAAAATCTCAGGGCCGGGCCGGGCCTGCCCTCAAACCCAATTGAATGAACAACATCTACATACAAGTTAATGTTTTACTCACACTTTGCATGCAAAACATATCTAGTACATCAAGATCATTTTCTAACATTCTTATCTTATCAGTACCAGGCATATCACAGTACAAATGAATAGCAAGAGCCTCAATCAAACCTATGTTACTAAGAACTGAATCATGTACATCCTTCAACAGATCAACATGACAATAAATATCAGGATTCACAGTGCATACTCTGCCCACTTTACCCTTGTAATGGATGACTAAATCAAATGAAAGAAATGCAGCCATAGCTGAAATAGTAATTAAACAGATAACAAAACCCTAATTTGATTAAAAACTAATTTAAACAGATAAACATTTAATTTGAACAAATAAACAAATTGAACCAATTCAATAAATTTTTGAAAAACAAATTGAACTAATTCCAAAGATAGCATGATTCAACCAGATAAACAAATTAAGAATAATGAATAATTCACAATATTAAGTAATAATGTTTAATAATCCAAAAAATTACAATTTTCGTATGTATTTTTCACAACATTAAACAGATAATACAACATTGAACAAAATCTATCAACATTGAACAAAATCTAACAAAAACCCTAAACCAATTATAATTCAATAAAATCTAACATTCTTATACTCCAAATCTAGCAAGTAATAATGTTGAATAATCCAAAAATTACAATATTTCAATAAAAACTGCAAAAACCCTAAATACCAAAAATACAATTCTGAAACCATAAAAATTAGTTTAAAAATTACACTAACAAAATTCTCAAAACTCTAAAAATCCCTTCATTCACAAAACCTAAACCCACGTATTGCATATATATATATATATATTCCGGAAATTTTAATATTGAACAGATTTATTAGAGAACTTACTTGGAAGCCATAAATAACAAAACAAACCGATTAAAATCTTTCACACTTTGCACTGTGAAAGATAATCAGAGCAGATCTTCAACAAAATCCCTAAGCCATCATCTTCTCTTCCATTCCTTCGTTGCTCACTTTTCTCTTCTCTTCGATTTTCTGATCGTGAACCTTAGGAAGAAGAATGAATGAGAGGGTTTTTTTTTTTTTTAAACATTAAGGGTCACTTGTGTCTTCTCACAATATGGGTCAAGGGTATTATGGTCAATCCGCCTTATTAATTAACGTCGTTCATGCTTTTTTAACGGGAAGAGGGAATCTGTGTATTATTTTCAAAAATATGAGAGGTCAGTGTTATTTTTGAATCTACAGGGGAGGTCCCTGTAATTAAGGTAAACCTTAGGGGAGGTTAGTGTAATTTACCCTATCTTACATTATAAATCATGTAAATTATCTACAACCTATGTACACACTCCATGAGTTATAGGTCGGGTCAAATCTAACCCAATTTCCAACATGAACCACATGGAAGTAGTATGACAAATAATCACCATGTCACATTCAACTTTTGTTTATATTTAGTAAATATATATCTATATTACATTTTCTTTTAAATATTACATATAATTAATATATTTTATCAAATATATATATGTTTATGTAAATATAAATTTATCTTAAAATTTAGAAATGATTTAAATAAATGTATCTTAATTCTTATGCTATTATTAAATAAATTTTAATATATTATAAAATAATTATAACGTTATGGTTTGATTTCGGTTTGACCTAATGGTTAAACTGGTGACCCCTTCATCTAATCCTTTTTTTGGTTCTCTCACCAATTTGATTTTTAAAACATTGGTGAGTAGTGAAATATCGACTAACAAATTTAGTTGCCAAAAGTATTAGCTGTTTTTCCTGACCAATCACTTGGTCACAAATTTATGAAATTTAGAAGGATTTGAATTTTTTTCCCTACTACAAGTTTTGGTCGCCACATAATACAATAGTTATGCTAACCATGAAAACGATGTCTTTTTGATATCAGTGACCCAAAATTCATTAATGGCTAAAAGTTATTTTGCTCTTCTTTCTTTCTTTCTTCTTCTTCTTTTTTTTTTTTTTTCACCTTCCTGCTTCTAGTTTTTGTAACCAATATTTGAAATTAGTCATATGACACAATATTTTTGCGATTAAATCACATTAGTCGTGGAAAATAAAAACTTTTCGCTACTATTTTTTTCTTTTTTATTCGGCAAATATGTGCTTTTTGTGACTAAATAGTATTTAGTCAGCAAAAGTGATAGTTTTTCTATATGCGACAAAATTTCAATGGTCGCTAAAATTTTTATGTCTCCCACTCTTTTTTTGTCACTCTACTTCAATTTTTCGCTCGCCAAAAACTTGATTTTTGCAACTAAATCATGTTAGTCGTGGAAAATAAAAAAATTTGGCTTCCAAATTTTTTTTGGTCAACAAATGTGATCTTTTCGTAACTAAAAGTTATTTAGTCGGCAAAAGTATAATTTTTTGTAGTGAATATCCATAACGGAAAATTAGTGAAATATCTCTCTCTAACTTTGTGTAGTAGAAAAGGTCGAAGACGGTTTTTTTTTTAATTAGCTAAGGTTTCTTAACATTTTCACAGAGAAAATTCGACTTATAGAAATTTTGCCCGATTTAGAGAAATTTCACCCGACTCAAAGAAATTTTAGCCCTAAAAATTGAAATTTCTTTGAGTCGGACAAAATTTCTTTGAGTCGAATTTTCTCTCTAGAAATGTTGAGAGACCATAACTACTATGAAAATATTGTATGTTCTTTATCTTATAAAATTTTAATATCGTGGACTTTAAAAAAATTTCTCTATCCATAACCTCACGATTGTGTTCTAATTGTTTTTAGAATATTATCAAAATCATGCTAGTTGTTTTTTATTATTATTTTTATAAATATAGTCTTGTTATGGGATTACAAATATCCGATTAACCTGATTTATTTTATGAATAATCTATCCAACACACTTTACGAGATAAGCAGTTCGGATCATCAAACCATTCGTCGAGTAAAACTTAATATTTTTAGTAATTAAACTCAATGTGAGTGTATATATAATATTTAAAATATTATTTTTCGTTGAGCTTATGATAAGAGTATTTTTTTAATCAATTTTAATTTTAAAAAAAATAAACAGATAGTTTAGATTGAAAAGAAATCAAAAGATAAAGATTTAAATTAATTAAATTAAAAGCATAGGTTTTATTTAGGGCAATTATATTGGTGGACTCTATATTTTGTCACTTGTGTCATTTTAGTCCCTCTACTTCCATTTGACTTAATTTAGACCATTAATTTCAAATGATAATGTCCTTAGTATTTTTTTACAGCAAATAATCATCGAATTGGTTGAGTTTAACTCATTGAGTTTAGTAAATTTATAATTTTACTCTATATGACACATACCACTTATATGTATATTTTTCATTAGCAAATGCTAAGAGCTGTAATCAATTAGAACAAATTGAAACAAAATCATAAATTCAAGATTAAAATCGTGCTAATTGAGATATAAAGATGAAAATGACCCAAGAACCAGTACATGGATTACTGCTACAATTTGCCCTTTATGTTGTTACAAGGGTCAAATCCTAATTTTTTTTAATTGTAATTTATTCTCTTTTGTATCATATTTATAAATTATATACATATATATATATTTTTTTATTGATAGAAAAAATAAAGGGTAAATTACAAATATAAGATTTGCTTCAATATAAATTATCTCTTATGATTTTAGAAATTGCATCTCGTCCTTTCATATTTTTAGTCACATAACAAATGATCTCTCTTATTAATAAACCATTAGCAACCAAGCAATTAAATGTGAGCCTTATAAATTAATAATTCCAATCTTATACTATAATTCGCCAATCAAACAAATCATTAGTTTACTGGAAACCATATAGTCACCCTTACACCACTCAGGCTACTTGTGTAGCACACGTTATAAATGGCCAGTCCATGAGAAGAGACAAAGATAATAGAGAGAAAGCTTAGAAAGGTAAAGAGAGAAGATGGAGAAGGGAAAGAAATCATATTCAGCACATGTTTTAGCCATACCTTATCCAAGCCAAGGTCACATTAACCCTCTGCTCCAACTCTGTAAGCGCCTTGTCTCCAAAGGACTCATAGCCACTTTTGCCCTCACCACCTTCATCTCCAACTCCATCCACCACCACCACCACCCACCCCAATCCAACTCATCACTCCAATTCGACACCATTTCCGACGGCTGCGACCAAGCCGGCTTCCCTCAAGCCGGTAGTGTCCAAGACTATCTCGCACGGTTAGAAGCTCCTGGCTCACAAACCCTAGCAGAGCTCATCAGGAAGTACGGAAGCTCGGACAATCCCATTGATTGTATCATCTATGATGCGTACTTGCCTTGGGCTTTGCATGTGGCGAAACAGTTCGGCTTAGCTGGAGCTACATTCTTCACGCAGCCGTGTGCTGTTGATTACAAATACTACTATGTTCACCATGGGCTGATGAAGTTGCCGGTGGAGTCGTCGCCGGTGTCGATTCCAGGGTTGCCGTTGCTTGCGCTTCAGGACATGCCGTCGTTCATTTATGTGCACGGCTCTTATCCGGCTTACTTTGAGCTGGTTTTGAATCAGTTCTCTAATGTGGATAAAGCTGCCTATGTACTTGTCAATACCTTCTACCAGTTCGGGTTAGTTATGTTATCCTCCTTTTTTTTCTTTTTTTTCTTTTTTTGAACTTTTCATTTTTTAAAATTTTACTTGAATTTCATTTGATTCTCACATTTTAATTGAAACAATTAAGTTTTTAAAGGTCAATGTGAGTGAAAGTTGAAATATTAACTACTAAACTAAAATTTGAGTGAAAGTTAAAAATTAAACAAATGCAAATTTCTTTCATAATTTTTTTCTTGAATGCCCTTGAAACTTGCACCAAGGATCCTCTAGAGTTTTTTTTTTCTAAAGTTTCCTAAAGTGGTGTGTTGTATGGGTGAGATTTAATGCTAAAAAATTGATATGATTGATGCGACTTGTCATTAAATCTCAACCATACAACACACCACTCTAAGAAATTTTAGGAAAAAAAAACTCTAGAGGATCCTTGCTCTGAAACTTGTTCCCGTGGACACATTTTGCCTATTTTTGTAACGGTGAATGATGGAAATTGAAACAATTATTAAAGTCATAACTTAATTGTTATAATTAGAAGAAAATAAGGGATCAAAATAAATTTTGAATAAAAAATAGGAACTCAAACGTGTAATTTATGTTTTATCTTTTTTTTTTTATATTTAATTTTTTAATTTTTCTTTTCAAACATTTTCACATTTTGATAAAGTGATAATCCTTCCAAATGTGCTACAGCAGAAGCATTTTCATATACGGTACTCATCAAGCAATTAAGTAAAACCCGGTATGGAGTAGGCTCTTTTTCAGTTGGGGTTTTCCATGTAAAGGGTGTTGTTGGGTCTCTGTGGACTCATCACGGTGTACACATTGATAATCTGAACTATGTAATATGTAGGACTTGTCGTGTACTTCATCCTTTTAAAAAATTACGTTGATTGGTTATTGATAGATACTTGATCGTATTGCATTTGTGTAAATAATTTATTTTAAAAATCATACTTACCATTGAAACAATTGTGATATGATCAAGTGGATATTTGATATCCGATCAATGTGATTTTTTTATAGGAATAAAATACTCAATAAGTCCTACATATTGAACGGTTTGAATTATCAATATCAACTCCGTAATAGGGCCATAAAATAACACCCTCCAATTTGATTTAGACCGGAGAGGAGCTTGCTCCCCGCGGGATTCCCTTATTACCCAACAATCAAGGTTATTGATTCATTAATGAAAGAAGGGTGAACTTACAAAGTAAATTCATATGGTCAAATCAAATCAACTTCTTGTTGGAATTCATCACTTGAAAAATATATTTATAAAATGTGAAATAAATCGATTTATATACAGTTCAATTAGAATTTCTTATTTTCTTGCTTTAATTATTCGTAATAAATATTTGTCTATTACATTGAACTTTTCGACCCCTCTGTTAACTAGTGATCACGTAACAATTTATGGAGAATGGAATTCCCTACATACATATGGTTAGGTAACGCAGTCTCTTTTCAAATGGTGAAATTGGCCTTTAATTTGTTGATAATAATTGAGCCACGGCGCTGCTAGCATTACATTTCCTTAAAACTGAATGGATTGGGGTCCTTCCAGCTCATGGTCGGGTATTGTTTGGATATTGGTCAAGTTTCGATAATTTAAATTGTTCATTTTATAAAAAAAAAATTATATATATTATTTACAAAAAAATTAGGTCAATATGGTATTTATATTCTATTCAATTAACTGCGTTTGTTACAGAAAAAAAAAAGGAAAAAGAAAAGAAGAATGATCTATTTTTAAAAACACAATTGTCGTCTATTTGTTTAGAGACAAATATAATAAATTGAATGGGTTATGATTATCAAATCGATCTTATTTTTTATCTAAATGATATATATGAAGAGTCTAATAAAATGAATAATTTAGATCACAAAAAGGAACCCGTAATCGGCCCCACAGGCCCACCTAGCATGATATGGAATGGAGGGAAGTTAGGTCTAAATTAGATATAAATGTAAGGTGCCAACTACCAAGTTGTGAAGCACGGATACTCAAAAAATGATGTCGTATGAGTACCGGGTACTTACTGGGCGCGGGTACGCGTACCAATACAACGATACCTAGACCGGGTACGCCGAATACATGTCGAGTACGGCATGAGTACATTGCGGGTATGACATGGATACGACATCGGTACGGCGAGGTTTTTTTTTTTTTTTTTGGTAGCTGTTAGAATTTGTTGCAGCCTTTATTATTCTTCTTTCAATTTTGAAAATATCGAGTAATTCATTACCAACACCTTTTACTTATGAATCATGATTTTCTTCTCTTTTGCATAATGTTTTAAACAATAAAAAAAGAAAAAGAAAAAAAATTATATAACTTTTTAGACAACCTATTTTCTTTTTAGTTTTGATATTGAAACTTTGATTGGTATGTTAGATGTTTAGCTATAAATTTTTTTAAAAAAATTGACGTACCCCAACTGCACCCGTATCCTACTTTTTTAAGAATTTACCGTAGCAGCGTACCCATAGCGTAACAATACTCGTATTCATACCCGCCCCCGTGCTTCATAGCTGCCAAGTAGGAAATTACCCTCCATTTGTAATCTTGAGGCCAATATATTTAATTGAAAATTATTAACAAATTTTGTGTTATTCTTATTATTCTAGGTGGTGGATTCAATGTTAAAATTAGTCGGTCCATTGATGATAATTGGACCAACAATTCCATCTTCCTACTTAGACAACCAACTTGAAAATGACAATGATTATGGGTTCGACCTCTATCACTTACATCCCTCTGCTTGCACCAACTGGCTAAGCACTAAGCCAAAGGGGTCTGTTGTTTACGTTTCATTTGGAAGTATGGCTAATTTAGGAGAAGAGCAAATGGAGGAACTTGCATGGGGCTTGCTAGAAAGCAACTTCTACTTCTTGTGGGTAGTTAGGGATTCAGAGAAGGAAAAGCTACCCACAAAATTCAAACAAGAGACATTAGGGAAGGGCTTGTTAGTGGGATGGTGTTCACAGTTGGAAGTGCTATCAAGTGAGTCCATGGGATGCTTTTTTTCGCATTGTGGGTGGAATTCAACAGTTGAAGCATTGAGCTTGGGAGTGCCAATGGTGGCGATACCACAATGGACGGACTAACTGACAAATGCCAAGTTTGTGCAAGATGTTTGGACGGTGGGAGCTAGGGTCAAAGTTGATGAGAAGGGCATTGTGAGGAGAGAAGAAGTTGAGGCTTGTATAAGGGAAGTCATGGAGGGAGAGAAGGGGAAAGAAATGAAGGAGAATGCTGTGAAGTGGAGAGATGCAGCTAAACAGGCAGTCAGCAAAGGCGGAACTTCTAATAGGAACATTGATGAATTTGTATCAAAATTGACTAGCTCTTTGTGTTAATCTTAGAATGAAATATAGTTACAATAAGTGTTGGGGACAATAGAAGCATATAATGTTAAAGTGTTGGGTGTGAGTATGCATAGAGATGTACAATTATAGGAGAGGTACAAAACTCCTTCTATATGAATTTATTAGTCCACTATGTTAATAAAATTGTGTGATTAAACAAGACAAATAGATTCATATTAATCAGTTAAATTACATAACATGAACTATGCTTAACAGAAATACATATGGAATCGAAATAAGGAAAAACAAGGGGTCGAACCAAATTATGTGTGATATCGCAGTGTCCTTAAAACAGATAAGCCGCTTCAGCGTGGGTGTGAGAGGAACGTCAACTTCTGTCTCCTAAGATAAGATGGTTTAGATCGGCTAACGCAAAAGCACCTTCTGTTAGCTTGGCAAACCAACACTGGCAGTACTCTCTCAACACAGGAAGAAACTTATATGGGAGAAGACTGACTTGGCTATAATCTGAGAGCAAAATTCTGTTGCAAAACCAAGGGAGATGGGTCTCCTTATGGGGGAGAGAGGAGGAGCCTCTAGCCATGAAGGCTAGCATCTAATGTCATGAAGGTTGCTAATGGAGGCCAATACTCCTACAAAACTGTTGGAGTAATGCACAAAACTGATGGGAATTCAAAGTGTGAATTACACACAATATACACATATGTGTATATACATTTCAGCAACAAGCTTGGGCCTGCAGTAGACCTGGCCCAAAAAGAATAGGTTGGTGGACCACCAATTCGGCCCAGCTTAAACCTAACCCATTCCAACAAGCCTTAAGCCTCAAGCCCAAGTCCACGATCCATGGACCCGGACACAGCCCGAGCGAGCGGGCGACGCGCGCGCATGTGTGGCAATTTTGCCATAACCAACTTGGATTGCCACATAACCAACTTGGACCATAGTCTTGAACCAAGCCCATCCTTGAAGCATCCACGTCTCCCTTCTTTCAGAAAATTTGGATGCCCCAAAGGGCTCATGCTCTTCTCATAATCTTGAGGTTTAAAGACCCATCAAAGCTTTTCTCTACAACCAATGTGGGATTGGTAGTTATACACAATTCTCAATACCTCATTTATGATGGCAACTTTATGAGACAATTTCTCATTCAATTCCTAATAATTTTTGGTCATTCTTTTTGTGGTGTAAAGACATTGTTACAAAGAATCTAAACTCATTTAATCTCACATCAACCAATGGTTGGGGACCTACTTTAATTTCATATTAAAGTCACCAAAAAATAATTTTTCAACAAGCCCCCACATGAATAAAAATTGACCGAATAAAGAAAAAAGATAACGTTTACAACAAAGACTCAGAGAGAGAGCGCACAGACTAATCCTGCATCAGAAAATGTAGTTGTTGGCTTTGAACCGTTCATAGTGAAAGCCTATCGGATTTACTGGCTGACTAGTGAATGTGATGTCTTGAACTGTTTTTCCGTTTGTGTAAACCAAGACAATAGACCTCGCACACGGGTTAGTCCAACCATTGTTCTTATTCTCATTGGTGTGTCCGGTATGGCCCTGGAACACTAGCCTAGTTCAGTGAGTGGTTTTAAAGAATTCAGCCTTCCTAATTCTTAATGAAGAGGCTCAACTTTGCACTCACATAGGTGACCTGTATAAGGTATTTCATTATACCACGGTTGACTATTCATATCACTTAGGTTATCAAAAGCATTAGCTTTACCTTCTACCCCACAGGGTATCACTGTACAAAGGAATGGGCAAGAGCATTTACCTCTTCAGTGACTTACCTATTACACGAAATTAGGTTGTCCCTTTGAACCTAGATCTTGGGATTTCTAGTCAACTAGGTTGGGTTTCCCGTTCCAGTAACATTTCTAAAGGCCTTAACCCCATTCCTTTTGACGACATTTCTACTAACTCTCGAGTTAACCCTTTGGTTAACGGATTCGCAATGTTGTCTTTAGACTTTATGTCACGACCCACTCCCCATATCCAAGGGTTAAGTATCGTGGTAGCCAGTAACTGAAGTTACCTCCGGCCAATTTTTGAACAAATAAATAAACGCGAGAAGAAATAATGTTTAAGTGAGGGTACCAAAATAATCATTGGAGCTTTTATTTTTATTACAAAATATTTAACTAAAAAGGCCGATATTTACATATAAACATATCATAAAAGTGCTGTGTGTGTTTATTCCGCAACTCCGTATCTAAGACTTTCCAAAAGTTATTTCTGAATTGCATTGGTTCTTGAGAATTGGTAAACAGCTATAAGCACATGGCAGAGTGAGAAGTATTATGCAAAGAGTATAAGGGACACAAAATAACCACGGATAGTTATGTAACTAAAATATTTAAGATAACTTAGTTTGAACAAATAATCATTTAAGTAGCAAAACTGAGATTATGTAAATAAATAACCATAACCACGGTACCGAACAGAATAGAACAGAGGTCACAAGAGTGACAGTCAGAACAAATGTACGGATTCAATAGGTGGCTTGTACGGATTATAGAGGTGGCTCCCACAATAGTATAGTACTTATCTCCGCACAACACTTTGCTCTGCACAAAACAGAGGTCCATAGATCCATGACAATAGAGGGCCACAAAGTGACTAAACAGAGGCCAATGGTTATTTAAGTTCCCAAAGGCATGGGACTCCCGTGGTGGTACTTACAAAACATAATTATTTATAAGGTCATAGTCAAATATTCTTTAAAATTTAAACAAACATATCCACAGGTTTCATTTTAAACAAATAGAGTTCAGAAATTAATCCACGTAATTGAAATATTTATAAAACATAACTTGTATTAATATAACTCATAAAATATAACTTGTATAAAATAAATTATGGTAAGTCAAAATATACATAAAATATATTATGGTAACCCAAGGTATAATATAACTCACCTTAAAATTAATATCTCACTTTTTCTTTCCGCCATCAAAACCTTCTTAACTTTCATTACTTTTTTTCCTTTTCTTTATTTGTTTTTTTTCCTGCCTCTTGTTCCCAACTCTTCCTTTTATACAAGATGCAAGGCTTGCTCAACAAGCTTTAGGTACCACGTAGCCAGCCACGTACCCCTCTTATTTAGCTGTTATCTAAGGTCTACAATGGATAAGTTTAACTTAGTTATTTATTTATACTTTGACCCCTAAATTCTTAATAATTATATTATTTTACAAAATCGCACATAATAATACAAAATAAATAATATGTTTTTCCAATTGTGATTAAATAATATTAGTATAAATTTTACAGAATAATTAAAAATTTGGGTAGTTACACTTTAAATAGTCTAGAGAGACAATTTCATTAGAGAATAGTTGTCGTATGGAATAATATCTACGACGGAAATGTCTAGACTTTCCATTATACATATGACTCTGTGCCTGTCCAATCGCTAATTGGCTATCACAATGAATACAGATAGTATGCACAAGTTTTGGCCAACGTGGAATATCCTCAACGAATTGGCGAAGCCATTCAGCTTCTTCAGTTGCTTTATCCAAAGCAATAAACTCAAATTCCATCGTTGATCTCGATATACACGTTTTCTTGGAAGACTTCCAAGACACGGCTGCCCCTCCGAGGGTAAACACATAACCACTAGTGGATTTGGAGTCTTTTATATCAGATATCCAGTTAGCGTCACTATACCCTTTTAGTACTGCTCAGTATCTGGTAATGCAGCCCATAATCTCAGGTGTAGCGTAGATAACCTAATACCCGCATAATGCCTCTCCAATGAGTGGCATTTGGATTACTCGTGTATCTACTAAGCCTGCTAACAGAGTATGCTATATCTGGCCTTGTATAACTCATCAAATACATCAAACTTCCAATGACCCGAGAATATTCTAGCTAACAGACACTCTCACCATTATTCTTCGTCAAATGTAGACTCACGTCTACCGGTGTGTTAGATACACTTGTATCTGGTTTACCAAATTTCTCAATTATCTTCTCAACATAGTGAGATTGAGAAAGTACGATACCACTAGATGTTCTGGTAATCTTAATACCTAGAATGACATTTGCGAGACCCATATCTTTCATGTCAAACTTTGAGTTTAACAATCTCTTGGTAGTTCGAACCATTTCATCATTACTACCAACAATGAGTATGTTGTCTACGTATAGACACAAAATGACGTAACCTCTATCAGTGTCTTTAACATATATGCATTTGTCACACTTATTGATTCTAAACCCATTTGACAACATAATGTTGTCAAACTTCTCATGCCATTGCTTAGGTGCTTGTTTCAAACCATATAATGATTTGACAAGCTTACAGACTTTCTTATTTTTTCCTGGAGCTGAAAACCACTTGTGTTATTCCATATAGATTTCTTCATCTAAATCTCCATTTAAGAAAGCTGTCTTTATATCCATCTGATGTATCTTTAGACCACGTAAAGTGTAAGGGTGTAATTTTGGCCTGGGCCGGGTCGGACCCATGTCGGGCCTTGTGGGCTCCCGCCAAAAAATCGGGTTGGCCTGGGCCTGCCCACGAGCCAGAAAACTAGGCCCAGGCCCTAGCCCAGGCACAGGGGTATTCGGGCTTTGGGTGGGCAAGTGGGCCGGGCCTCGGGCCGGGCCCATGGGCTTAGGCAGGCCTAAACAATTTTTTTCTTTTAATTTTTCCCACCAAAATTTTATTATTTTCCACTAAAAAAGAATGGGCATCGGGTGGGCCGGGCCTTGAGCCGGCCAATGGGTCGGGCCGGGCTTCAAAACGATGGCCCAGGCCCTAGCCCAAGGCATCGGGCTAGGCTTGGGCTCGGGCCTTAACGGGCCGGGCCCACCTCGGGCCGCCCACGGGCCATGGGCCAAAATTACACCCCTAGTAAAGCGGTTATCACAATCACCATGCGAATGGATGTAATCCTTGTCACAGGTGAATACGTATCAAAGTAATCCAGGCCTTCTCATTACTTGTATCCCTTGATAACTAGTTTAGCTCTATATTTATCAATTGACCCATCAACCTTCATCTTTTTTCTAAAGATCCACTTACTCCCCAAGGCCTTACTGCTTGGAGGTAGATCAACTAACTCCCAAGTATTGTTCTGTAAGATGGAGTCAATTTTACTTTTAATAGCTTCTTTCCGTAGGGACTTTCTGGTGAAGTCACAATTTCATGGAAAGTTCGAGGTTCTCCCTCTAACATATAAGTCAAGAAGTCCCGGCCAAAGGACTTGGCAGTC